CGGTCTGTCAACACACGGTTTTGGGACCCCCCAGACCTTACATTGCCATGAACCCCGAACAAGGAACAGGGGGCCCGGGAACGCAGCCGCCCACCGAAAATGTCGGCCCAGAAGGTGCAACCAGGAGCTCGGGAACCCAGGATAGCCCAGCCGACCATGCCGAAATGGGCCTGGGTCTGTCGCCAAATCATGCAAAGTCCGCGAGGACACTTGTCAGTGCAAGCATTAAGTCGGGCATGTCCCACTACAGGAGGAATATTCAAAAATAGTAAAAATAGTCTGGGGACGATTTTTCTACTTTTTTTGTTTTTTTGTTTTTTGACTAGTTCAATTGTTCTTCCAAAGTCGTTCTGTGGGAGGACATGCCCGACCTTGTGCAAACACCCATTGGGGAAAAGACTGCTTGAAATATTCAGAGAGCTCCGCAAGGATTGCTTGAGTCTTCGCTGGGCCTCTCTGGCGGCGCCTCCGACGCCGCCCCTGGCGCGCTCCGTGCGCCAGGGAGGGGGGGTGTCCAGCGCGGATCCACGAAGTCCGCGCGGACCTCCAATTGTTGATGCCATGCCGCTTTCCTGTGCTCCGTGGGGGGGTCCAGGGTCTAGGGGGGGAGCTTTTCCATACATACGTCACGGAGCCCGCGTGGACAGGTCGTCATTTGTTCCGTGCGCGGGCATGTTGTTTAAACCATATGTATTCTGGTGCGCGCGCAATTGTTCATCGGGGGCAGTGGGCGACCATGTTGCCGCATCGTTCGCGCATGGGCGCGTTTTGATAGTCTTCGGGAATGTTTTTTTCTCCACAAAAGAATCATATGTGTTCCGGCGCGCGCGGGAGATGCGATTTTTCTTAGTCTACGACCATGTGTAACAGAATTCCCATGCAATAGAAACCTCCCTGTAATCGTGTGGCCGCCGATCATCAGCTCAGGGGTCAAGGTATGATCCGGCAAGCACGGTCGCCCGCGCGCCCGGGGGCGAAGGCACAGGGGGGCGGGCCTGCTCAGAAGGCTCAGGACGGCCTGCTGGCCTCCCGAGGAGCGCTTTCTCTTCCGCAGCCGCTCGTGGGCTGCCCCACAGGCCGGAGGGCTTCTGAGAAGCCACGCCGCTCTCGTGAGACGGTCTGCCCTCTCTCCCTACCCCCTTCGGCGCGCAGCTGGCAGCTGGGGGGGGAGCTGGAGAGCAGGGAGTTCCGCAGGGTGAGTCGGCGAGTGGAGCCAGCAGGGTGAGCTATAGTGAAGGCCTTCCCACCGGGCCACTGCTCATGCCAGCCCGCTGGAGCTGATTCCACTCTTCGACGGCGGGGTGCGCTCCGGTGTTTGCATGGCGCCGTTGCGCATGCTGGCGCGGCCGATCATATTTAGGTTCCGACTCTCTTCCGATGCGGCCCGATCCGACATATGAGCGACCGAAGAAAACGGGGTCGCATTCACGAACATGTGCGCGTAAGCTGCCCGCGCAAGGTCGCGCGTGAGCGCCTTCGTTTCTAGAGCAGCGTGTCACGCCAGCAGTCCTCGTCTTCCACCGCTTACGGCCGCTATGCCTCCTCGCGTAAGATCCGTTGCGTTTGGTCTTCCGCATGTTCTGATCCGATCCGAGGAGGAGGAGGAGGAGGAGGAGGAGGAGGAGGAGGGGAAGGAGGAGGAGGAGGAGGAGGAGGGGGAGGGGGAGGAGGAGAAGGAGGAGGAGGAGGAGGAGGAGGAGGAGGAGGAGGGGGAGGCGGAGGAGGAGGAGGAGGAGGAGGAGGCGAGCCCGCCGCCCCTCTCTCGTGTCTGCTGCTGGGGGGCCCTGCGCAGAGCTTCGAGGGCCCGCGGCGGAGCTCTGGCCATCGGCTCTCTCCTTGACAGAGCTCGTAGCGGATCACGGCGTTCTCCGTGGCGCCCCGTGGGGGCGGCAGCGACGGACGCGGTACACGTCGGGGTATGGACAGACCTCCTACCCTGACGCGTCGATTCGTGAATTGGCCGTTTTCGGCTAGCGAGAGGGTGTCGCGGCCGTCATTGTTGCGGGTCCAGGTCCGTCGGTTTCGGTCCCAGGCTGTTTTCACCAAGGGGAGGTTTACTAAAGGGAGGTTTGTCCACCGCCGAACAGTGGAGACCCATGCCAAGAAACGCCTTGCTTGCCTCCAGGGTACCCTGGGTTTCCTGGGTTTCGATGGGTCTGCTATGGAAAGCGTGGCGTTCCCACACCGAACATGAAGAGACGTCCTGGGGTCTCAGGATTGGGTTTCTTGTGAAAGGTTTTTTGTGGTCGAGCCCCTACTGTACCCTGGACGGCTCGGGACCCTGTCAGGCAGGAAGAAGGAACACACACACTTTCGGAGATCCGTGTGTATGTCATGGTTCGCTTACCTATCTCAGGAGGCCGCCGGAACTGTAGTCGTTTTGGCTCAAGCCGCTGGCATCACTGTGATCGGCCCGCGCGATCACGCGCAGAGGCCCCCCCTGCACGGCTCGGTCGTCGGCCCCTAAGCGCTCCAGAGGGCGATGGCGCTGCCCATGAAGACGGCGATGAAGTCTGGCATGAAGGCCGCGATGAAGACCAGCATGAAGGCCGCAATGAAGAAGAAGAAGAGCATTATCGCCAAGGGCGTGCAGGCCAAGAGCCAGGTGTTGAAGGGTGCGAAGGTGAAGACTTCGGGGGGCCTCACGAAGGATAGTCTCATGAAGAACAAGCGTGGCAAGGTCGTGTCGAAGAAGATGCACGCGGCGGGCAAGAAGCGCTACTCTGCAGTGAAGAAATGGGCCGAGTGCGTCGCCAAGGCGAGGGCCGCACTCGGCCTGAAGGGCTTCGTGGCCGTCAACGGCAAGAAGCCGGAGGGGAAGGCGCTTTATGCCAAGGCCAAGGCCTTGTACGCCCAGGCGTAGTGAGTGATTCCGGGGCCACTCGCTATAGGTTAAATGTAGGATGCGTGGTCGTTCACGATCCTGCGTTCGCGAGCCCGTACGTGCTTTTACGTTAAGTTTGGGGCAGGAGTCGGACGCCGGATGTCGCCACCTGGACATTCATGCAGGGGGGGCAGGTGTGCCAGGCGCCTGCACGGTGCATCGGAGAGCAAAAAGTACATTGAGCTTTGCAGACTTCTGGTCAAAAAGCCCAACCGGCCAGCGCAGAGGGAGGGGGAGGAGGGAGGGGAGGAGCACCGAGGGAGCGGGAGGGGGAGGCGACGCACTGATTGCCACGCAGCTCGTGGACGCATTCCGCCCACTCTGCTCCCGCCTACACCTTAGGCGATGCTTAAGAAAACTTGAATTTTCGGCCAGAGTCTCGATCATTCTTAATGTTTCAGTGTAAATCCTAAGATTTTATTCGAAATTCTAGGTTTTGTTCAATTTCTGAGACTGTGAATTTCCTAACCCATGATTTCTTGAGCATTTCGCAGGGCCTACCACCGATCCTGCCGAATCGATGGTAGGCCGGGGGCAGGGTTCGGACTTCGCTCTGACTACGTTCAGGAGGGAAAAATCACACACACAGACGCGATTCCTCGTCGACACCCCAGAAAATATGCGAAAATATGGGAAGTGGGGGGGAAGACAAAAAAAACCCGAAAATATGGAAACATATTGTTTGTTTTTCATGTGTGTGTCTTTGTTTGCGTGTCCCAGGGCCCCTTCGCACGTGCTCGACGCCTGCCTCGCCCTGCCCCCGCCGCCCCTCGGAGTGCCCGCGTCGTGGGTCGGCGAGGGGGCAGGGCTCGGATCTCGCCGTCGCTCCGTAGGTTGCGGAGGCGCGCCGGGGGGGGGAGGGGACGGCGAGAGGCAGGGCCGGGCCCGGACGCCGTCTTGCTCGACTTCGGCTGTGCTTTGTGTTTCGCAGGAAAAGAAGGTAGGGCAGAGCGAAGGACGAAACGAGCACGACCCGAACAAGAGCGTTTTGGGGGGGGAGGTGCAGGAAAAAGAAGGTGGGGCAGAACGAAGAGCAGAAGGACGGGGGGGGGACGGGGAGGCGAGGGCGGCGCAGGGCAGGGCTGGACCCAAACGTTGTTTGTTCTGGCGATCTCTGTCGACCTCGCTTTGCGGTAAAGGGCGGATTGAAGACAAAACGAGGGAAAGCGAAAACAACTTTTGATCCGCGGGTCGAGAGCGAGCCTCTTGCGGTCAAAGCTAAGCGGGCCGCGCACAGCTTTAATTGACAGAGGGAGGAAACTAGAAGGGGGGGCCTCACGTCAAGGCCAGGAGAGGGCAAAGCCCCGGGATAAGGCGGTGCCGAAGGTAAAGCGAACACAAACGAGAACGAAGAACACCGTTTCGGTTGGGGAGGAGTCGGGCGCTGTGTGTTGGGGGGCGATCGATGGGGAGGGGATCCAGGTTCGAGGATCGAGGTTCGCCTTCTGGAGGTTTCTGATCGTGCTGGGGCGGCGGCTTGAAGAGAAGCAGGCGCCGCACACGGAAACTCTTGGCGCTCCGCGCGGATTTCTTGGATCCGCGCTGGGCCCCCCTGGCGGCGCCTCCGGCGCCGCCACTAGCGCGCTCCGCGCGCCAGGGAGGGGGCTCCAGCGCAGATCCAAGAAATCCGCGCGGAGCGCCAAATGTTTATGTTCCGCCCGTGGCCACGGCTGGGCCCGCGTCGGGCTTTCTGGTCAGAGGGCCCATCCCCTCGAGGGGCCTGGGAGTCGTCGAACGTTGATCAGGGGCAGCGACGAGGGGGGGGCGGTGGGCTCCGGGGAAGAAGTGTCGACCGCCCGACCGCGCACTCGCCGCAGGTGGGAGCCCGAGCTCCCCGCCCTGCCGAGGAGCGCGAGCCGCGACGAGACATCGCCGGTTCCAGGTCGGCGCTTCCCCTCCCGAGCGGGTTCCCCGCTCTGTGCCTCTCGCCCGCGCGGGTGGCGGCGGGTGGCGTGCGCTCCCTCCTCGTGGTGGCCGAGGCAGCTCCGTGGCGGCCTCTGCGGTCGATGGCAGACAGCCTCGGCCTCTCCCTCTCCGGCCACGCCGGGGGGCGGTGCACACCGCTCCTGGGCCCAGGATGGGGCCTGGCCACGGGCGGCGGATGTGCATAGATCTCGCCGTGGAGGAGGAGTAGTAAGAGGAGCAGGAGGAGGAGGAGGAGGAGGAGGAGGAGGAGGAGGAGGAGGAGGAGCAGGAGGCCGGAGGAGGAGGAGGCGGAGGAGGAGGGAGGCGGAGGCGGAGGCGGAGGCGGAGGCGGAGGCGGAAGGCGAGGAGAGGCGGAGGAGGAGGAGGAAGGGAGTAGCAGGAGGCGGAGGAGGAGGAGGGAGCAGGAGGAGCAGAGGAGCAGGAGGAGCAGGAGGAGGAGGAGGACGAGGAAGAGGATGAGGAGGAGGAGGTGGAGGCGAAGGCGGAGGCGGGGAGGCGGAGGCGGAGGCGGAGGACGGATGCAGAGGCGGAGGGGGAGGCGGTGATGTGAGGCGGAGGCGAAGGCCGCAGGCGGGAGGAGGAGGAGGAGGCGCGAGAGCGAGAGAGGAGGCGGAGGAGGAGGAGGAGCGCTTGATGTGGAGGAGGAGGTGCAGGAGGAGCTGGAGGAGCAGGAGGGCAGGGAGGTAGCGGAGGAGCAGGAGGTAGCTAGGAGGAGCTGGAGAGGAGGAGGAGGAGCATAATAGGAGGAGGAGGAGGAGGAGTAGGAGGAGGGAGGAGGAGGAGGAAGATGGGGATGGGGATGGGGAGGGGGGAGGAGGAGGAGAGGAGGAGGGAGGAGGGGAGGAAGGTGGAGGAGGCGGAGGAGGTGGAGGAGGAGGAGGAGTGCATCTGTAGGAGTAGGAGCAGGAGGATCAGAGGAGGAGGAGGAGGATGCGAAGGAGGATGAGCAGGAGTTCACACATCACAGCCGAGCGCATCAGGATTTGCCGCCAAGGAGGAGGTGGAGGGAGATGATGAGAACGAGGACGTTTTGACATCAGAGCCGAGCGCATCAGGATTTGCCAAGGAGGAGGAGGAGGAGGCGTTGGAGGAGGAGGAGGAGGGACAGGGAGGCACATTACAGCCCAGCGCAACAGGTTTTGCCAAGGAGGAGGAGGAGGAGGAGGAGGAGGAGGAGGAGGAGGAGGAGGAGGAGGAGGTGCTTTCCTCACTGTGGGCCCCGCCCAGGAGCGCTGCAGCTACGGTGCGCTCGGGTGGAACATCCCGTACCAGTTCTCGGAGGGGCGCCCCGCGCCCGCGCTGCGCTCTCTCTCTCCAGGTGCGGCCCCTGGGCTGCTGCGTCGGCTCCTCCTGCTCCGCAGCTGCGTCTGCTCTTTTGCTGCCCCTGCGCCTGCTCCTGCTGCTCCTCCTGCTGCTTGTTTCTCCTGCTGCTCTTGCTGGTGGGTTCTCTCCAAGGGTTCACCCGTTACGTCAGGTTGGAACGGTACCGTCAGGACCAGCCTGCCCCCTATATGCAGGGATGACGCGCGCAGATCGAGAGGTGTATGCCGTGCTGCGCCTGCTGCTCCTGCTGCTCCCGCTCCTGCTCCTGCTCCTGCAGCTCCTGCTCCCGCTGCTTCTGCTGCCCGTGCCTGCCGCCACAGAGGAGGCCAAAGGTGATGGGCGTGTTTTCCACCACCACCAGAAGTTGGAGGGGGGAAGGAGGAGGAGGAGGAGGAGGAGGAGGACGAAGAAGAGGAGGAGGAGGAGGAGGAGGAGGAGGAGGAGGAGGAAGAGGAGGCGGTGGAGGAGGACCCCCTCCCCCTCCAACTCATGGTGGTGGTGGTGGTGGTGGAAAGCAGGCCCATCAAAAAGCCCACGCCAGCCCGGCGGGAGCCCGCCCGCGGGGCCGGCGGCGAGGGGCACGGCGGCAGCCCATGGCGCCCCCCCCCCCCCCCCTCGCGACCGGGAGGAGCCGGACCGGCAGATCTGCGTGATGCAGCTGAAGATGTTCCTCGAGGAGCCGCCTCGGGGCAGGGGCGGCGGGGGTGGGCAGACCATACCAGCCTGGAACATAGCCCTGTCCCTGTGCTGGGCATCCCCCCATCACGATGCCACTCTCAGGGGTTCCCTTATGTTTGAGGGCGCATCCCCAGGATTGTCATCGCTGTTTGGCGTGTCAAGCTTAGGGATAGGGATCAGTTCGAGGCTGGTAGAGACCTTCTACCCCGACGCGTCGGTTAGCGAATTGGCCGTTTTCAGTCGGCGAGTGGGCGTCGCGGCCGTCATTTTTGCGGGTCCAGGTCCGTCGGTTTCGGTCCCAGGCCGTTTTCACGAAAGGGTGGTTTCCTAAAGGAAGGTCTGTCCAGCGCCGAAGACGAGTCAATGCAAACGGGGGGGTCAGCCGGAGCGCCGGATCTTGCAGGATCTTGCAGGGCCAGGGGCGCACGGACCTGGGCTTCGGGTGCAGGTTTCTGCATGATCTTGCAGGATTTTGCAGTGCCAAGGTGGCATAGACCCAGGCTTGCGTGCAGGATCCTGGAGGATCTAGGAGGGCCCGACTGACCCGGGTCTGGAGTGACCCGGGTCAGCAGATCCCCGGTCGCCATGTGCCAAGTTAGGATGGTCAAATAATCATGCCGACAACGAATCGTCAGCCGCATGCCGCCGCCACCCCGTTTTGGCGCACCCCCCATACTCTTCGTGCCCCC